CTCTGTCCATGGGAATTCTCCAGGTAACAATACTGGAACGGGTTGCCATGTCCTGCTCCAGGGAATCTTCTCAACCCAGGGATTGAACCCAGGTCTCCCACATTATAGGCAGATTCTTTACTGTCTGAGCCACCAGGGAAACCCAAGAATACTGGAGTGGGTAATCTATCCCTTCTCCAGGAGAATGTCCTGACCCAGGAATTGAACCAGGGTCTCTCGCATTGCAGGCAGATTCTTTAATAGCTGAGCTACCAGGGAAGCCCAAGAGACCAGTAAGTGTATATATAAGCCCTCCTAAGAGGTGACTTTTGCCCCTTTTTTTAAGACTGCCAAGAAAAGTAAATCTCCTGGTCACTGGCACTTCACCATTGTGTTTACCATGCCAAGAAACTCTTCTTCACAAGAAACTTATTCCTTTTGCTGTATTTAAGTCCATTTTGTTTTTCAGACTTCACCGAGGGGTACACAGTTCATTAGAATCTGCTTTAGAAAGATTATTAAGCATTTGAAAAACCCCCTTAGCATTCTTTACCAAACTAAAAATTATAGCCACTTTAATCCTTCTTAAAGTATACCTAGTTAATATAGTCAGGAGTCAATAGAATCATTTGTATAGAAAAGTATGAATATTAATCCCTGGCAGCTTTTCTCTAGACCTGCTCTATATATCTTACTATAGAGGCTAACATTGGACACAGTACTCTTCAAATAAGATAAATGATAAGTAAGGGGTTAGGGTGCAGATAGTCGGGGAAGGGATTCAAGAGGCTTTCACTGAATCCCTGCAAGAACAGAACCTCCATACATTTGAAATGCTGTCCAGCAGCTACTTGCTCCCCCAATCTCTGGAGTTACCACAGTCTTTCTCCCAGTTGGGCATCTGTCATGCTCTTTGTGAGCCAGATTCCTCAGACCATTGATTCTGCTTACCTGTAGCTCAGGATCAACATACCACCTTCTCTGATCCAGTACCACCCAACTGACTGGCTCAAGTCCCACCCTCAGTCCAACCAGCTGTGGGTGAGAAAACAGGTCCATCCAGGCCTATAGAGAAACAAGTGCAAAATGAACTTTTTCTCTTTTCTATGTATGATGCACACGATTTCATAACAGTGATTGCAAGGAAGCTTTCCTTATACATCTTTTCACGGTCCCTTATGAATCACCTCATAACACTTTTAGAATAAGTCCATTTCTTAATCTTCGTGCCAAATTTTCATGATCATTTAAAGATTTTATAATTTTACTAGTTATTTCAAATATGTTTTAAAATATCCAAATATATATAGTAGGAGCTCACTGAGTGGAATTATTTTATATATACATATACATACATATAGGTATATATACATACATGGAAAATTTTTATTTCAGCATTACCTAAGGAGATATAGATGTGAATCTTCAATCATTACTAGTTTATTAAATTTTAGTGCAAGTAGATGCTTGTCAAGGTTTTCTGTTGGAAGTGCTGTGCACAGCTAGTTTTTTTGGCTCTGCCCATTCCTCTTGTTTACCACCTAACATTGTTAATTTACTCCTCCATCTTCCCAGGTTTGCCCAGGCTAGCCCAATCCTACCTGACTGAAGGCGTTGTGAAAGGTTTCAGTTCCCTATGCTCCCATGATAAAGTTGTTACTGTGGGAAAGGAGACCAGCTAATACTGTGTGCTACTTGGGGGAGGGGCAATTTTTTCCTAAAATAGCTATTTTAGTATTTCATCTTTCTTTTTCAGGATTGTTAAAACAATGTTCATAATTTATAGGCAACATATGAATTTCACAAAATCTACCCTCCTCAAGTTCTCTAAATAATTATAAGTACTTATACCAATTGGATATTCTCATAAGCCTTACAAATTAAAGCAATAATTGACTTGGATTACAGTAAGCACACCTAAAATGCTAAAAGGAGGGCACAACTATGTCCTGCCTCAACGTGCTCTTTGAAGAGACCGAAAGACTGGGTCACCAGCTTCTAGTGTGTTCTCTGAGGTTAGTGCTTAACAGAATTTTATTGGGTTAAAACACAAAATGCATACATGAGCCATCCTAAAAGATGACTTTTTGCCCAATTTTTACAGTTGACCATAACCATGCAAAAATGTGACTATGTGACCTGGAAGGCAATTTTTTAAAAATGAAAATGTTTTAGTTTTTTCTTTAAGATAGTTAATAAAAATATTTTCAGTAGATTTTTTTTTAGTTGAACACACACACATACAAACAACAACAACAAAAAACCCCAAACTTTCTGACAGTTAGAGTAATTACTTAAATGAAAAAGGTCTCCTTTATCATTATTGACCTCTTTGGGACCTTGAGACCCTTCCAGTTACTGAAAAGTATACTAAATGGTTGCTTCTTCTCTCCTGTCAGAGGAAACATAAGAACAAAATGATTACATACTTTACTACCTTGGGCATGTTAGGTAAAATACCTAATTTTTTCAAAATGTTAAAAGAGATGAGTCCTGAGGTTTTGACTCCTAAAAAATTGAAAATCTGGGAACTGTTGATACATCCCAGGTACTCAGAACTTCCTGACAAGAATGGGCAACTAAGATCTGTTTTGTATAAAGCTGCTACTCAGGTTTAATTCAGCAGAAGTGAAAAATTTTTAACCACAAAGGTTACACTTAAAAGGAGATACATGTAAACTGAATCTAAGAAATACTTTTAAAAAAGAGCAACATACTGTGTCTCCATGTGGGGAATAGCAAAAAGAACCCAAGGAAGTAAAAAGAGAAAAAGTTGGCACAAATCATACAGTTCTTAAGGGTAAGAAATAATAAGAACTGTGTTAAAATTATATTGGAATTTTGGGTCTGAAAACAAACTTACAGGTCTAATCCAAACATCTCAGTTTTACAGATGAGGACACTTGAGGCCCATTTATTCATTCAACAAACATTTATTATGTGTCTGCATGCTCAATGTTGGAAACACAACAATGAACAGGACAAGAGATGGTTCAAAGTGGGGATCTGACTTGCCCAAAGTCACAAAGCAAGTTAGCAACTCAACAGGGGCTCTTTGCACTCAACTCCACAATGTCTAATATACCATCATTTCTGCACCTGTAAGCACACTACGAATTTGATGAAGGGTCTGTGCATAACACTTTCACAACCGATGCAATAACATTCTGTAATATGTAAGGGGTATATAGATATATTTATATTATATTCAAATTGTGTTAAAAAAATCTATATAAAATCATCACATATACTTTTTTAATTAGCATGGAAGTGCTTTCTAATTTCTAGCTTATCACATATTCCATGTGCAAATTCTGACAATCCAAATTTTGAAAATTTTGAACATAATTTCTGGCCAAACAACTATGATTCTTACTATATTCTGGCTCCTCTGAACTGCAATTTTAATTCAACTCATGCTCTGATATTTTAGCTATTTCAATAAATAATTATTTTAAAAGACCTAGCTCTACCATTAACCAGTTTATTCACCTTATTCATTCACAGCTTAACCTAGTATGGTAACTTTACTGTATGTAATATAATCAGAGATACAGTTTTTAAAATGTCCTGAATCAGAACTTCCTTCTTCTTTTTTTTTGGCCAAGTCACATGGCATGCAGGATTTAGATCCCCAACCAGGGATCGAACCTGTGCCCCCTACAGTGGAAATAGAGTCCCAACCCCTGGACAGCCAGGAGATTCCTTTTTTTTAAATTGTTTTTAACTTATTTCTTTAAAAGAAAACTCAAATACCTCATTTCAAAATGAACAATAGCCAACAAAGACCTAGCACAGCCAAAATAAATAAATGAATAAATTAAAAAAAATTTTTAAATGAACAATGGAAAAATAAAATAAAATAAATGAACAATGGTACCTATTATAAGAAGGAAAATAAGAGTTTTTTTTTTTTTTTAACTTAATAATCCTAAGAAAGCACAGGGGGGTTCTTTAACATAGCAGAAGATAGGAGCCCTACTGGAAGCAATACTGTGGCCTCAGAGTTCTTTAAATTAAAACAATCTAGAAGAAAAGTTGCCTTATCGAAATAAGATTTTGAGATACTCCTAATTGCAAAGTAGTAATTTATATTCCAGCACCTCTGAGAATCAATAATGGGGAAGACGAGAGGATCTGTAAGGACCTCTGCTGTACTACCAACACGACAACATGGAGCTGTGAGGTTGATTTTCCATCCTCAGACTCTATAAGGCTCTCCTACTCCTGCGCTTGCTTCCCCTGGGCACTCACTCTCTGTTATTATTTGTGTTTCCTCCACACATAATAACCTCTATTGAAGACTGCATCTTACCTTGAATCACAGTATAGAGCTTATGTTCAGTAATTGTAAAATGAAACCACAGATGGTGACCAGAATTTAAAGATTGATAACATCCACTCTAATTCATAAATCCACACTCTGAAACCAACTGTAATAATAAAAATTAAAACTACATCAGGAACATGTAGTTCTACTTCAAATATCAGGGAATGTTAAAACTACAGGGCAGGACTAAGAATTTTAAATGGTCTAGTTAAACAGAAACCCATGGTGCATGCTGTTCTAAAAACACCAAGCAACACCAAGCACTCTTTTTAAACAGGAAAGGTTAAGTTCAAGCCTCAGATAATGAAAGACAGAAGAAAATTTTAAGGAATAAAGGAAACATTAAAATGAAAAAAAATGACAAGATAATTTTATCTCTGGATTAAGACTTATTTTAATATACATAATGTATTGTACTTCATATAATTTATTAATGTCATTTTCTATAGGACACTGTAATTAATTCAGTGACATCAATATTGACCTCAAACAAACAAAGGATGAAAGCTGGGTTTCCTTGTGTACCAAATACAAAACATGTGCTAAAGAGTTATCACACATAACAGTTATAAGAGATCAACTTTAAGGATGACTCAAGTTTACAGTAGTTGCTTCACACGGTTTTCCCTCAAGACATGGATGTCACCCAGTGTTACTGTGTTTGTGCAAATGCCATCTCTGGCCTGCCTGACTACCTCCTTTTGCCAGCCCCACTTTTGCCTGTTTTACTGCTGCCACTGCTAGATTTGCCAGATGATTTTGAAGAGAAGAGTCTTGTCATGAACTCAGAGACATCAGGCAATTCATGGTTGGAATTCAGCATATTCATTGACTGCTCCATTTCCTGTGGGAAGACAAAGCACATTGATATGAAAGGCACAGGGATCTTTCAAGTCATCTAGCAACTAACAATTCCATTAAGGAAGGAGGAGAGAAACGTAAAAGGTACTGGTTCTGAGCAATGATGTAATGTCACACCCAATAGCATTTCGAAACCATGTTTCATGCTTCCCTTATATCACTCAGCATTCTGATCCTCAGTAAATGCTCAAAAGTGTTGCCTGGGGTTTGATTCCATTTATGTTTTTGTAAAGGGGATTTTCTCTGATAATGGACATAATGTGATTATATTCCTGCCACCTAATTTTGTTTTCTGATTAAAATACTTTGTTTTAACAAGCATTTTTTAAACTCATGCTTCTTCTAGATGCATTTAGCTAGAATATCAATCTTTAACTATATATCAAGCTATCAGAAAAGTTTGAAGATAACTATAGCATTTCCAAGAATTGATTCCTAAAGTGAAGTGAAGTCGCTCAGTCGTGTCCGACTCTTGTGACCCCATGGACTATAGTTTTCCAGGCTCCTCCGTCCATGGGATTCTCCAGGCAAGAATACTGGATTGGGTTGCCATTTCCTTCTCCAGGGGATCTTCCTGACCCAGGGATCGAACCCAGGTCTTCCTCATTGCAGGCAGATGCTTTACCCTCTGAGCCACCAGAGATTCCTAAGGGCCTCAGTAAATCTATGAACACTGTATGACTTGAATGACCTCAGTTACAGCATGTAAAGCAAGCAACACAAATATTAAAATGTTACCGTCACTGGCAGGACCTAAGGAAACAGTACTTTTATTCTGAGGTTTCTGTCCTACCCCTTACTGGGCCAACAATCTCTAAAGTACTGTTCCACTTTTGACAATATTAATGTCTGCTTCATGTGAATTTCATGTGACATTACAAAAGTGAACTCATAATTGTATTTGTTCAGACATGAAAAAAAAATAGGAAATACCCTATTATCTATCATTTAAAATTGAGCTTTTAATTCAATTATTAGCTAGGGCTTTCTCCCCAAAGGGAGAATTTATATATGAGGTTTCAAGGAGAAAATGCTTTAAATAAGGCCAGGAAAAGAAACATTATAAATATAAATCAGATATATTAACATCCCCTAGTAATCAAGAATTAAATGTATATGGTAACAGGTCTTGAATCTCTGCAAAAATATATCAACTCTATTTTTCAATCTGTTCAATTCTGAAGCTCTTGAATGAACAGCTTTTTATACTTCATACTATGTGAAAAGCATTTTGCAAGAAATGAATTTTTAACCCAATGTGACTTCTACTGCTTCCTTCTATTGATACCACAGAGAGTTAACTGCCTTAACAGATACAAGGATACAGGAGGTACACTTTCCAACCAACACTGAGGCAAAGACGCCAAAACTTAGCAATAAAACATTTTGAAACATCATAAAGCATTCTTCTTTCATGAAGTTTTTTTCTGCCATTCCAGCATGGGTTATGCCTTTACAGAACTTAATCACCTAGTACCTCAGCAGACATTTTTATTTAGGATAGCTTATTTTTCCATTTAAAACACACACACACACACACACACACACACAATCCTTTGATGGAAAGAAGAGTGCTTTATAAATACATTCTATTTCCTATAGTTAGCTGAGCTTGTTGACAACAGAGATGACATATAACCCATCTTTGTATCTCCTGTATCCAGAACCTAAAAATTGATAATAAATATTTATTCAGTAATCAATAGGTGTAAATACATCAGTATATTAAATACAACAGAAAAACTTGGAATTCAGGAGCTGTATGTTGATGGTTTGGGTTGAAGAATAGATAATTTTTTTTTTTTCAATTCTGAAGATTTTATACAGAAGCCAATATTTATAAGAGATGAGATGGTGGCACTAAATTTGAAGCATCTTACTTGGCAACTCCTATCCCCCTCACCAAACAGTATGATCTTGTGGTAGAGTTTGAAAACGACTATTCTATTTTTCTCCTGTGGTTTATCAAAACTTCTTTTGTGTGTCTGAATATATAAGCTAAAAGTATATACTCTGAAGAACTTTATAAAATAAAGGTAGATTATAAGAAGCTACCATTTAGTGAAATATTTAGATTAGGTATACCAGAATCATTATGCATTTCAACTATTTAACAAGTGAGGTACAAAGAGGCAAGTACTAAATAGAATGTCTTAACTATATGAAGAGATCCAGGCTTTTATCAGACAGAACCAACTGAATTTATCTGGTCCAATGGAAGCAATTAAATGCCAGAAACATATAATACTGTATCAACACAACCTGTAGATGAGTTTGGCTTGGGAAATAGGATAAAGCTGGACAAATGCAAGCCATTCAGCCACAATGGATGACCAGGCATCAGAACATGGTTCAATCATCTTACCCGCCTCATGTCAGGATCACTTGTGTTGACCACTTTGGGCAGAAGCACAAATATCAATAATGGAAGAACCATCATCATAACCTGTGAAAGAAAAAAAATTCAGAAAACGTTTTTTCCACTTAACTGTAGAACAAAATCTGAACTTAACAACCAATGATGGAATTGAATATTGTAAAATGAATAAAACTAGCAGTCACCACTTCAATTCTACTGAATGAGCCCTGATGACAGCAAAGTGCACTGTTGTAATATAAGAGCTTTATCTATAAGTGTGTGGACTTTATAGAGACACCTTGCTTCATATCTGTGCTACCTATCATTTTGCAGAGTTTTTTTTTAAGACAAAGAGTTTGCAAACAGAACTATTTGTTCACTTTCTTCAATCTGCAGTCTGCCACTGAGATTGGTGATTGTGATGACCAACTGAGCTTTTTCTGGACGACTTGCGGTTTTTGGAGAAAACAAAATAGCCCCCTTCTATGCTGGGAGGGATTGGGGGCAGGAGGAGAAGGTGGTGACAGAGGATGAGATGGCTGGACGGCATCACTGACTCGATGGACATGAGTTTGAGTAAACTCCGGGAGTTTGTGATGTACAGAGAGGCCTGGCATGCTGCGATTCATGGGGTCACAAAGAGTCGGACACTACTGAGCGACTGAACTGAACTGAACTGCTAGGCAACTACTATAGCAGACAAGTTTTAAAACATGACCTAAGAGTTTCTCACACTGCATATATTCCCACAGAAATTTCAGAAATGAGAACGTGGAAGATATTTCTCAATTAGCTTTGGAGTCTCACTACTGATTTCATCCATCCACTCTACCCTCCTGCTTCTTCACACCTAACTGCAGATTCCAGGTACTAATTTATTCCTCTCAAAGGATATACAGCCTGAAACATCCCTCCTTGTGATCTAAATAACTATCATCAAGAAATATGATTAACACTTAAATAATTCTAAGGTAATAATTCAAGTTTCAAAAAACAGCAAAAAAAAAAAAGTTAACTTTTTTTTGGAAGAATCATGCTATTAGAATTTTGTATTAGTGGATACCGTAACATCATTTCATGAAAATACCAAGTACTTAGACTACCACAGAATAACTTTTCTGTTCATTCCACATTCAAAAGAAAGAGAAAAAACACGTACTTGTCCCATCAAGAGGGCAATTTATTAAGTGATGGCACATTCATCAGTGGCCTAATATGCAGGTAGTATGAGAAGGAGAGTTAACTTCATGTGTGGCTTACCACACATGTGACTTACCACATGACTGCGTGTGTGTTTAGCTGCTCAGTCGGGTCTGACTCTCTGCAACCCCATGGAGACTTATCACATACTCATTCTATATGAATTTTAAATGTAAATATTTATCTAATTTCTGCTGCACATTTCAATGTCAAATCTACCATGCCATTCTTGATACTATTTTTTTCATTATATAGTCCCAAAGCTATTATTTTCTTGAAATTCATAAACTAGTCACAATAATCCTTTCATCCAACAATTTGACCCCAGCTTTCCTATCACAGGGTTAGGATTTTTCAATTGCCTGTAAGCAAAGTAGAGATTAGTAAAGGTACTTTATTATAGCCTGATACATACCATTGGGTTCATCAGAAAGTCTGTCCAGCCCCAAGACTCCCTTTTAATAAAGTAAGAAGGTGGGCCTGAAGATTTCATCTGGAGAGGATAGGGCAGTCTGACCACTTCTGATGTTTTGATGTAATTCACATATCTTGCTCTGATAAAGCAACATGAAAAAAGCATCAGTATTCCTATTACAAGCATTATTAGTTAAAAGAACTGCTTATATTAGTATGCCTTATAATTACCTTTAGCTTTTTCCAGAATGCTTTGGCATTTAAATTTTTAATCTTGAAAATCTGATCAAAGTAGCTTCATCTATATGTCTAAAATACTTAGCAAAATGTAGAAAAGAAACTAGATTTAGAATCAAGAGACCTAGTTTCTAGTTATAGATCTGTTATTACCCAGGCTTGCAAGTCTTAAGTTCTTAACTTTTCTGGTTATGCCAAAAGTTCTTCTGGAATTCTTCCAGCTCTAAAGCTCTTTGATTCTATTTAATAATAAACTTATTTTGCTATAAATATATAAAAATGTTGGAATTTTTTGATTGTCTGAGATATGCATCATGGGGTATACCTAATTGCATAGGGTATTTTGCAAGAAAAACTTATGATTCAAGAAAGTCCTGCAACAGTGCCACAGGTGGTAAATAACATTACATTTTTACCAGACATGCTATGAATTTTAATCACTCATGTCCACACATACTTCAATGTACTTTTTAAACATTGCTTCCCCCATTTCCTCTTATCATTTCCTTTTGGAGCTTCTATTAGACAATTGTTAGACCATTTCATTCTTTATGGCGGGGGCCGGGAGGGTGCAGAGGAGCCTGTGCTGAGTCTCCATTGCTGAGGAGGCTTCTCATTACAGTGGCTTCTCTTGTTGCGGAGCACTGGCTCTAGGGCTGGAGGGCTTCATTAATTGCGGCTCCTAGGCTCTAGAGCACAGGTTCAATAATTGTGGCGCAAGAGCTTAGTCACTCCATGCCATATGGGATTTTCTTGGATGAGGGATCAAACCCATGTCTCCTGAACTGGCAGGCAGATTCTTTCCCACTGAACCATCAGGGTAGTGCCTTTTTCATTCTTTGCTCCCCATCTTATTAAACTCTCACATTCAGAGTCCTTTCCTTCATCTGTATTGATTTATGGCTAATTTTTCTGATCTGTCCACACATTCATTGAGTTTTATATTCCAAAGCATACACTGATTGCAAAAGTTCAATTTTATTTTATTTTTCATATGGTCTATTTGGTATTATCTATGGTCTATTTTGGTATTATGGCAAGAAGTATTTTTGTTTAAAGCATTTTAAATATACCTTAAACCATCTTATCTATTCTATATCCAATAGTTCTACTATCTAGAGTTCTCAGGGCTTCCCTGGTGGCTCAGTGTGAAGACTCCACCTGCCAATACAGGAGACATGAGGACCATCCCTGATCTGGGAAGATCCCACATGTCATAGAGCAACTAAGCCCGAGTGCCACAACTACTGAACTTGTGGTCTAGAGTCCAGGAAGCGCAATTAATGCAGCCCTGGAGCCCTAGAGCTGGCGCTCCACAACAGAAGAATCCACTGCAGTGAGAAGCCCTCACACCACAACTAGAGAGTAGCCCGTTTCCTGCAACTACAGAAAAGTTTGCACAAAAACGAAGACACAGCACAGCCAAAAATAAATAAACAAATAAATAAAATTAGAGTTATCAGATGTCTGATTCATCTGCTAACTCCATGGACATTGTTTTCTTGGGTATTTTTTATAAGTTAAGTAGACGTTACTTATGTTTGGGTGTGGACAGAGAGTATCTGCCTCCAGAGAGGTTATGCACTCATCTCTGCCAGGAGTCCAGGATTATGACCAGGGATCATATTATTAATTTTTCAGACTGGAATATTTTGGCTCATTCAGGAAGTAATAAGTGCACACCCCAAATTTCAATGAGGGTATGACCATCAATTTTCAGGTAGATTTTTCCCTCCAAAAGCCAGGGCCAGGTTGGGAATCTGATCTCTTGGGTTTCAGGCCAAGGGTCGAAGAGAGAACCAAGTCTCTAGTCTGACTCTGACTCCCAGAATGCCCAAAGCTTGCCTTCCATCTACACACTGCTAATAAAATCTAAGCATCTTGGTGAGAGAATAACAAATTCCCCAGGTGGGAAAGCAGTTTCTTCTCTGGGGAGTTCCCTTACTTTGGGGGGAGTTATACATTTAAAAGGAAATTTTTATCATGTTTTATCCAGCATTTCTAAAATTTTGCATTCGGCCAAAATGTCAGAAATGGAAGTCGCATTTATTTGAAACTAATTTATCATGGACACTTGCGAAACACTGGTCAACAATGTTAGTATCTTACGTAAGTCCTCTGTTCTCTACTCTGTTGCCCACCCCCCAACTATCAAAATGATAAGGGCCCTTTTTCAAAGCTATGCTCCAAGTGTCCAATCATCAGGAATAAATCTGCGAATATGAATCCCACTGCTGCAACCAGTCCTTAAAAGTTAAAGCAGGTAGTACTCTTTATCCAAGGTGAAAAGGCGAATAAAACTTTGTATTTTAGGAAAAATTTCTAACTGCTTAGACTACTTTATTCAAAAGGGGAAAAGATACATCCAACTGAATACAGAGTTTCAGAGAATAGCAAGGAGAGATAAGAAAGTCTTCTTAAGAGAACAATGCAAGGAAATAGAGAAAAACAATACAATGGGAAAGACCCTTCAAGAAAACTGGAGCTACCTAAGGGATCATTTCATGCAAAGATGGGCACAATAAAGGAAAGAAATGGCAAGGACCTAACAGAAGCAGAAGATATTAAGAAGAGGTGGTAAGAATACACAGAACTACACAAAAAAAGTCTTACATGATCCAGATAACCATAACGGTGTGGTCATGCACCTAGAACCAGATATCCTAGAATGCAAAGTCAAGCGGGCATTAGGAAGCATCGCTACAAACAAAGCTAGTGGAGGTGATGGAATTCCAGTTGAGCTATTTCAAATCCTAAAAGATGATGCTGTTAAAGTGCTGCACTCAATATGCCAGCAAATTTGGAAAACTCAGTGGTGGCCACAGGACTGGAAAAGGTCAGTTTTCATTCCAATCCCGAAGAAAGGCAATGCCAGAGAATGTTCAAACTACCATACAACTGCATTCATTTCACACGCTAATAAGGCTCAAAACCTTCAAGCTAGGCTTCAACAGCACCTGAACCGAGAACTTCCAGATATTCAAGCTGGATTTAAAAAAGGCAGAGGAACCAGAGGTCAAATTGCCAATTAGTTCAATCATAGAAAAAGCAAGAGATTTCCAGAAAAACATCTACTTCTGCATCACTGACTATGCAAAAGCCTGTGTGGATCACAACAAACTGTGGAAACTTCTCAAGCAGATGGGAAAACCACATCACCTTACCTGCCTCCTGAGAAAACTGTATGCAGGTCAAGAACTGGACATGGAACAACGGACTGGTTCAAAATTGGGAAAAGAACACGTCAAGGCTGTATATTGTCACCCTATTTATTGAACTTATATGCAGAGTACATCATGCAAAATGCTGGGCTGGATGAAGCATAAGCAGGAATCAAGATTGCTGGGAGAAATATCAACAACCTCAGATATGCAGATGATACCATTCTAATGGAGCCTCTTGATAAGGGTGAAAGAGGAGAGTGAAAAAGCTGGCTTAAAACTCAACATTCAAAAAACTAAGATCATGGCATCTGGTCCCATCACTTCATGGCAAACAGATGAAGAAAAAATGGAAACAGTGGCAGATTTTATTTTCTTGGGCTCCAAAATCACTGAGGATGGTGACTGTAGCCACAAAATGAAAAGATGCTTGCTCCTTGGGAAAAAAGCTATGACAAATCTACACAGCATATTAAAAAGCAGAGACATCACTTTGCCAACAAAGGTCTATATAGTCATAAATGATGTGAGTGCTGGACCATAAGGAAGGCTGAGCTCCTAAGAACTGATGCTTTTGAACTGTGGTGCCGGAGAAGACTCCTTGGATAGCAAGGAGATCAAATCAGTCAACCCTAAAGGAAATCAACCCTGAATATTCATTGGAAGGATTGGTGCTGAAGCTGAAGCTCCAATACTTTGGCCATCTGATATGAAAAGCTGACTCATTAGAAAAGACCCTGATGCTGGGAAAAACTGAAGGCAAGAGGAGAAGGGAGTGACAGAGGGTGAGACAGTTGGATGGCATCATTGACTCAAAGGACATCAATATGAGCAAACTCCAGGAGATAGTGAAGGACAGGGAAATGTGGCGTGCCACATGGGATGCCATGGGATCGCAAAGAGTCAGACATGACTTAGAAACTGAACAACAGCTTTATTCAAAATTCAAAGTAAAAAGAATAAATAAGAATAAATTACAGTTTTTAATCAACAGATATCCCATTTTAAACAACTCTCATTCCCTCCAGTATTCAGTTTTTTGTTTGTTTGGCCTGGCCACTCAGCTCATAGTATCTTAATTCTCCAACGAGGGATTAAACCCAGGCTCACTGCAATGAAAGTGCAGAGTCCCAACTACTGAACCCCAGGGAGCTCCCAGTATTTTCAGTAATTTTTAAAGACTCTCAAACTTATATAAAGTGCATATGGTAAATCTACAAACCCCTCCATGTCCACACTTGCAATTCTAAAATATATAAAAAGTCATGATACATTCTTTACAGTTTAGATATTAACATACTAGAGGTTTTATGTATAAATATATATTTTTAAAATTTTATGCCTCTAAAAAGACATGAGAAAGTCAATAGCTAATGAGATTCAATTATTTTGAAACAATCCATTTATTACACTAAAAATATTTATAAACATATTTGCAGGATATCATTTTAGCTAAAGTTTTACCCTTGTTCTAAGTAGCCAATAGCAAGTAATATTAGAATCTGGACAAAGTAGAATATTCTAAGACAACAATTTAACTTCAAAAATATAGGAGAAAGTAATTTGCTTCTAAAGAATGTATTTTTCATAGCATCACAGTATTGGTTTCATAATAATACCAAGAATTTAAATTACACAGAATAACTGCATTCACTGGTACACATGCTAAAAGAGGAAAAAGAAAACTCTACCTATCCATTATCAGGAGCTGACATCAATGAACTAACATATAGCTGATATAACGAATGTATGATATAAAGCTCAACATATGACTATTTTAATTACAGTATATTTACATATTATACTTTTAAAATGTTCAATAATCAAAAAAAAGTACAGGAAGAAGGAAAGCACTTTGGGAGTAAACGCTGACTCAAATATAAACATTATGGTACAAACCAAACACCTCTCTACGCCAACTCAACCTGAGGTCTCCACAAATCAACCTAAATATGCTAGGCATGTGAAGAAAAGATTGGTAATAAAATATAGCTCCTCTAATCCCAAATTATTTTTGCCTTTGCATGACCTCTTTTTTATTACTGCATGCATGCTTAGTTGCTCAGCTGTGTCCGACTCTTTGCAACCCTGTGGACTGTAACCCGTTAGGCTCCTTTGTCCATGGGATTTTCCAGGGGAAGAATACTGGAGTGGGGGTCGGCATTTCCTCTCCAGGGGATCTTCCCAACCCAGGGATTGAACCCAAGAGTCCTGAGTCTCCTGCATTGGCAGGCAGCTTCTTTACCACTGAGCTATCTGAAAAGATTGATTACAGCAACACAAAGTAATTCTGTGATAGCTCAAACAAAGAAGAGATATTACCATTTTAAATTGTTTGATACAACACATGAAAAGATGCTCAACATCACTCATTATCAGAGAAATGCAAATCAAAACCACAATGAGGTACCATTACACACCAGTCAGGATGGCTGCTATCCAAAAGTCTACAAGCAATAAATGCTGGAGAGGGTGTGGAGAAAAGGGAACCCTCTTACACTGTTGGTGGGAATGCAAATTAGTACAGCCACTATGGAAAACAGTGTGGAGATTTCTTAAAAAGCTGGAAATAGAACTGCCATATGACCCAGCAATCCCACTTCTGGGCATACACACCGAGGAAACCAGATCTGAAAGAGACATGTGTACCCCAATGTTCATCGCAGCACTGTTTATAATAGCCAGGACATGGAAGCAACCTAGATGCCCATCAGCAGACGAATGGATGAGGAAGCTGTGGTACATATACACCATGGAATATTACTCAGCCATTAAAAAGAATTCATTTGAATCAGTTCTAATGAGATGGATGAAACTGGAGCCCATTATACAGAGCGAAGTAAGCCAGAAAGATAAAGACCATTATAGTATACTAACACATATATATGGAATTTAGAAAGATGGTAACGATAACCCTATGTGCAAAACAGAAAAAGAGACTCCTATGTATAGAACAGACTTGTGGACTCTGGGAGAAGGCGAGGGTGGGATGTTTCAAGAGCACAGCATTGAAACACGTATATTATCTAGGGTGAAACAGATCACCAGCCCAGGTTGAGTGCATGAGACAAGTGCTCGGGCCTGGTGCACTGGGAAGACCCAGAGGGATTGGGTGGAGAGGGAGGTGGGAGGGGGGACCGGGATGGGGAATACATGTAAATCCATGGCTAATTCATTTCAATGTATGACAAAAACCACTACAATGATGTAAAGTAATTAGCCTCCAACTAATAAAAATAAATGAAAAAAAAAAAATTGTTTGATACTTGTCAATTACAGCTCAATAAAGCAAACAAGCAAGAAAGAAAACTGCTTCCTATACCTCCTGGTCAGAGTACACCAAAGAGAGCACTATTGGCATGAGACTAATAACAAATAAATCAACTGGGCTTATAATAGCAGAAGGCTAAATCTGAACACTGTGGACATTTACACAACTGATTCTAACTTGAAAGGGGTCTGCGATATTCCAGAATTAGTTCAAAATTTTCACTCGACTTCAAAGCACGTGTTCATCTACTTAGAAATTCTAAAACTTTTTCCTGTCTTCCAGCCTCTAATACTGTACTTTTTCTCATTATGATCCTCATTTTGAAATAAACTCCATGAAATTATCAAAATATCCCAATGAAATACAAATGATAAATATTTTCAACTTAGAAAAGTTAAATTATTTGCAACTTTAATAATCACATTTCAATTAAAACTTTCACAGTGCTTTTGCTCCTATAGTAAGTAATCTTACCTCTTCTCTATATAGTCATATCAGGAGTTTTAAAATAAATATTAAGCCAGAGCAGGAGAAAGTTCAACTGTACAATATTATCAATACTCAAATTAGAACAATATAAGGATGCTTTAAATGTTTTAAGGAATACCTGCAGTTTAAACAAGAAACCTTTCAACCTTAAATATAAACTCTGAAAGGAATATATAATGAGGTATTCAGGAGCCTAGCCTTTGGTAAAAATTAAATCAGCTGTCCTTACCTCATTTTGCCTTTTGAAGTGATATCCACTCGGACAGGATCAAACCTGTAAGCTGGAGAAATAACTTCTACTACATAAGATCCAGAAGGTATATCATGAACCACAAAACTCCCATCCGTCCTGAAACAATGAAATTATCATTATTTAGTCACTTATGATCAACAGTTTATTCCTTTGTTTTAAATCATCAGTTAACTCCCAAACCAATACCCCCCAAAATGACAAAGTATTTAGCAAAATAAAACAAACCCAAACTGGTGAGAGTTGTTCCACATTTCAGCTTCCATAATTACACTGCATGGGTAATGAAAATGCCCCAGAACATTCCACAGAGAACCCTGACACAGAAAACACTTATCTTCCATCTGCAGGATAGAGATGAGAGGTGACAGGAGTACAGGTCTAACTCTAAAGTCATGTCTTCATTCAAGGGAATGAATATGTTATTCCTACAATATTGGGGTTCCAATTTTGCCAAACCCCTCCAACAATTTCTTAATTAAAAATGGCTTTTTTCCCTAGTTTTAATTTGCATTTGTTTTCTTGGTTTTTTCTTTTTTACAAAAAAAAAAAAAGGTAATTAAATATTGCTTGTTCCACTTGTTACAAATAGTTCCCATCTATTTTGGTTACTTCTTTTTGGCTATGTGTAAGTTTAAAATGTTTATGGGAGTTAAAACCATCCACTTTTGGCTTACTGATTCTTCTAAACCTTCTAGACTAAGAAAACTACCCCATCCAGAACTAGTCATTTCAGGTTCACAGACCAAAATTAATTTGTTTTGCTAATGAGAAACTGCCATTCTGATGGCAAAAAAAGTTTATGATTCAGGAGAACAAAGATTCTAAAAGGACTGATTTTATCAAAGAACTGCCAGTCTCACAATAACGTTAAAATAATGTTCCTTACATCATTAGGCTCTTTCACAGTTAAAGGAATGATTCTGTCACATCCACCATGTTTACTAAAAAGTAAGAGGAAAAAGTTCCATACTATTTCAAAGTACACACTAAACTGAAAGAGTTGAAATATAAACATCAAGTTAACTTATTTCTGGGCTAGACATCTTCTATTTTCCCTCAGATCATTCTCCAACCTTCTCCTCTCCGAACAGCAGGAAAGGAAGAAAACAAGCTTAGTATAATTTCCTCCCAGCTCTTTCCATGCAAGGCCCCCTGACTGGCTTTGGCAAGGGACCCAGCTCCTCTCTAGGCCATTCTTTCCTCTTTTCTAGATTCCAATAACCTCTATTTCCCTGCCTCCATTCAGCCTTAGAGGTGACAACAGCCTTGACGTTGTAAACTTCGGAGTACTGCTTAATCTGATGGTTTCCTTACACCACGACAACCCTGGTTAATCCTTTCATTAAACTTTCCTTGAATTACTCTAATTATTAAGTTTCTTGATGGAACCCTAACTGAATGAATTTCAAAATTTTTTTCTAGGTCCAGAAAAACAGCGAGTTCAATTAATTCCTGTGCAACACAAATAATAGCAGAACTAATGGCATAAAGAAAAAGCAAATATATTTTTCATCCTAGGGTAAACAGTTTACTTTAAAAGATAACATACATATTTAACAATGAAAACTTAAAACCTGGTTTTTAAAATGTACTCTGCAATACACAGACCTTGCTGGACTCTGATTTGAAAGAATAAGCACATTAAAAGTATTTCTGAAGTAAGTGGGGAAACATAAAAATGGACTGGGTACTAAATGACATTATTACATATTTTGTGAAATCAGTAACGGTACTGTGGGTTTTTTAAGCCCTTATCTTTCAGAGATAAATAACAGTGCTTTTACAAGTGAAATTATATTATGTTTAAGATCATATTAAAATATTCCAGAAAGAAAGTAAAGAGGTGCAGATAGCAGATATGAAATCAAACAGTAAGCTGTGATGAGTTCCTAAGTTATTCTGTTTAGTTTAGCATATGTCTGAAGTTTTCCATAATAAACAGTTCAAAAAATTTATAGTATATAATCTTATATAAAGCATAGCACATAATTTTAAAAAACTGAAAACTATCTAAATGCCCCCAAACAGAGGACAAGATAAATTAAGTTCACATACACAGTGATGAGAGAAAGAAGTGGCATGGGTAGTCTTCAGTTGAAACTCCCCTAATCTTCATTTAGTAAAGTCTCAAGTCACCTTCAACAAGCATAAACACAGTCAAAATCGCAGGCTAGTTATGTATAACAGGTACAGGACAAATTACCTATCCCTCTTCCAAAATGGTTGCCACAATAAGCCCCTCATATTAATTCTCAACCTTCCTACATATACATGAAAGAACACGAAATGGCACCAGAAGCTGCTCACAAAATATTAAATGAAAAAAATCAAGTTACAAAGCACTGTATATTGTATATTAGTATTAAAAATGTCATATAATTCCAAAAAGATGTAACAAAATGTTAAGGCTTGCTATCTCTATTCTGTTTATATTTTCTTCAATAAACAAATCACAAATTATTTTCAATAAAAATAATGCTTATTTTAAAAACTGTATATGGCAGAAGAGAGATCAAATGGTTAATCATGGCTAATTTTCTAAAGCTTAATGAGAGTTTTATTATTAAAAGATCATTTATTAGGGTAAAACTTCAAGAACGGCCTAATGCCAGATTTTCAATGATAAACAGCACTTTAAAAAATGATCGTAAGCTTCTCTTCATTATTTATTAAACTGAGTTTGAAATTCTCATTCAAAGGCACCCGGAGACTCCGAATATTTACAAAACATATTTAGAATTAAATTGTCTTGTTTTCAGATACCACTTGTTAGTATACAAACCCACCAGAGGTACACTTCCTTTACCAAATACTTTCAGTTCAAAGTTTCACTTTCCAAGCAGCAATTGAAAGATTTAAAACATCGTATTACACTTATGCCTAGACACCTGAAAAGCAGGCTGATACAGAACTACAGTGCTAATAAATTCACCACGTCTTTTAAATATAGACTCAAATCCTATTTCTATTCATTGCCAGTCAGGACAGAAGAGCATAAACACTGCAGAGTCTTACATAAATGACAACAGTAATGCTGCAAATCCCTCGATAACTTCAAGTGTAAAAAAGAACAACAATCCCACTTCCAGGCAAAAAAGGTGCTTTGATTAGGGACTTCAGGGCCCATTAATTTTAGCAGTAGCAACATTAGCCTCCAGTCTGTGTCATCACTAGAAGCCCTGTGGGTTTTGAGAATTCCCACTAGCTTAGCATCGTTCTACACAACATGAAGCTACCAAAAGACTGAAATGTAGTGCAAAAAGAGGCCAAATTCCAGGGAAACCAGATGAGGTGCAAAGGAAAGAATTCCTCAAAAGACAAATAAAGGGTCCACCTGTCCCCAGGGCTCAGAAGTGGTGGTCCCCATCCAGGGCTAAAAGGGAGTTGAAGTAACTGACTCCACTGTTCTGGCCCTCGGACGAGCACCTGGTATCCTCATTTCTGTGGTACAGGATCGGGAAGGGGAAAACGTCAGACTGCCTGGCAAGGTACCCCCGGCACAGCCCGCTAGCGGTGCTCGCCCTTTCACCCTCGGACAGCGACGTCGTCAGGTTTTGACACTTAGCGCCCCCAGGGGGAATTCCCTTGCAGCTTCTATCCCAATTGCTTTCGCGCTGCCCTCAGGATGCTCACTTCAGAAAGCCGACGTGCTCTTCTCCGTCTACCAGCACTCGGGCCGCCGAGATCCAGTCCTGGGGTTTCACTCCAGGAACAACCGCACGCCCCTCAATCTTGAAGCGATCTCCAATGCCGACCCCACTCCCTCCTGGCCCCTCGGAGGTAGACCCAGACACCTCCGAGCTCTGGGCATCCCTTGATAGTAGCAGCAGGAGGACGGAAAAGAAGGCCCAGAGAGTGGCCGCCATGACAGCAGCTCTCGGCGGTCAGGCCGGTAGCCCCGGAAACCCTCCCAGTTTCTCGCAGTCGCCGCAGCCGCGCGCTGATGTCGTCATCTCCGCGCGCCGGTTTCGGGCGCCCACTGTGGGCTCAAACCGCAGCGCAGGAGTCTCGGCCAATCCACTAGCGAGATGCGAGTGTTGCGACAACTTCCGCGCGCTGGAGAATAGAGGGCGCTGTGAGGTGCGCCACTTAAGGCAGTTGCCCCCAAAGTGAAAGAGAAGGTGTGAGTTGCCGTGGTCCCCACTGAGAGGGACGGGGATCTTAAGTGTGTGTTGCCTGTTAAGTCGCTTCAGTCGTGTCCGGCTCTTTGCGACCCTATGGACTGTAGCCCGCCAAGCTCCTCTGTCCTTGGAATTCTCCAGGAAAGAGTGGGAGTGGGTTGCCATGCCCTCCTTCAGGGGATCTTCCCAATCCAGGAATCGAACCCAATCCAGGAATGCCCCCTGCATTGGCAGGCGGGTTTTTGTTTTTTTTTTTTTAAAACCACTAGCGCCACCTGAAAAGTAAAAAAAAAAAAAAAACAAAAATTAAGACTGAGAGGGATGAGATCTTAAGTAGTGTCTGCAAATGAGGCTCTGATTTAGATAGAAACAAGTCCAGTACAGAGAGTTTCAAAAGCCTTTAGAGATTCCGCAAGCCGTGCAAGATGAAAAGCCTCCCGTTTGTATGTTTAAAGGAGATAACATCTCTGCACAGAAAAACAGCTGGAAAAATACGTACTGTTAACTAAAGGTTACGTCTGGTGAAAACGGAAAGAGTTTTGAGGTAATTTATCTGCATTTATTTATCTACATTACACCATTCGTCCAGTTTTGAATGCTTTACCGTGATAACAAATGAGTGGGGGGAATGGAGTGCAGCACGCCAGGCTTTTCTATCCATCACCAACTCCGAGAGCTTACTCAAACTCATGTCCAGTTGGTGATGCCATCCTACCATCTCATCCTCTGTCGTCCCCTTCTCCTCCTGCCTTCAATCTTTCCCAGCATCAGGGTCTTTTCAAATGAGTCAGCTCCTCGAATCAGGTGACCAAAGTATTGGAGCTTCAGCTTCACCATCAGTCCTTCCAATGAATACTTAGGACTGATTTCCTTTAGGATGGACTGGTTGGATCTCCTTGCAGTACAAGGGACTCTCAAGCATCTTCTCCAACACCACAGTTCAAAACCATCAATCCTTAGGGGCTTGACTTTGTTTATAGTCCAACTCTCACATCCATACATGACTACTGGAAAAACCATAGCTTTGACCAGACCTTTGTTGGCAAAGTAATGTCTCTGCTTTTTAATATTCTGTCTAGGTTGGTGATACCTTTTCTTCCAAGGAGCAAGAATCTTTTAATTTAAAGACTGCGGTCACCATCTGCAGTGATTTTTGGAGCCCAAAAAAATAAAGTCTCTTACTGTTTCCATTGTTTCCCCATCTATTTGCCATGAAGTAATGGGGCTGAATGCCATGATCTTAGTTTTCTGAATGTTGAGGTTTTTTTTTTTTTTTTGAATGTTGAGTTTTAAGCCAACTTTTTCACTCTCCTCTTTTGCTTTCATCAAGAGGCTCTTTAGTTCTTTTCCCTCTCTGCCATAAGGGTGGTTCATCTGCATATCTGAGGTTATTGATGTTTCTCGTTGAAATCTTGATTCCAGCTTGTGCTTCATCCAGACCAGCATTTCTCATGACGTACTCTGCATATAAGTTAAATAAGCAGGGTGACAATATACAGCCTTGGCGTACTCCTTTCCCAATTTGGAACTAGTCTGTTCCATGTCCAGTTGTAACTGTTGCTTCTTGACCTGCATATGGATTTCTGAGGAGGCGGGTCAGGTGGTCTGGTATTCCCATCTCCTGAAGAATTTTTCACAGTTTATTGTGATTCACATAATCAAAAGCTTTGGTGTAGTCAATAAAGCAGAAATAAATGTTTTTCTGGAAATCTCGTACTTTTTCAATGATCTAACGGATGTTGGCAATTTGATCTCTGGTTCCTCTGCCTTTTCTAAATCCAGCTTGAACATCCGGAAGTGAACGGTTCAGATACTGTTGAAGTCTGGCTTAGAGAATTTTGAGCATTACTTTGCTAGCGAATGAGATGAGTGCAATTGTGGGGTAGTTTGGCATTGCCTTTCTTTGGTATTGGAATGAAAACAGACCTTTTCCAGTCCTGTGGACACTGTTGAGTTTTCCAAATTTGCTGGCGTATTGAGTGCAGCACTTTTACAACATCATCTTTTAGGATTTGAAATAGCTCAACTGGAATTCCATCACCTCCACTAGCTTTGTTTGTAGTGATGCTTCCTAAGGCCCACTTGACTTCAGACTCCAGGATGTCTGGCTCTAGGTGAGTGATAACACCATCGTGATTATCTGGGTCATAAAGATCTTTTTTATATAGTTCTTATGTGTATTCTTGCCACCTTTTCTTAATATCTTCTGCTTCTGTTAGGTCCATAAAATTTCTGTCCTTTATTGTGCCCAACTTTGCATGAGATGTTCCCTTGGTATCTCTAATTTTCTTTAAGAGATCTCTAGTAATTCCCATTTCATTGTTTTCCTCTATTTCTTTGCAATGACCACTGAGGAAGGCTTTCTTATCTCTCATTGCTATTCTTTGAAACTCTGCATTCAAATGGGTGTATCTTTCCTTTTCTCCTTTGCCTTTTGCTCCTCTTCTTTTTTCAGCTATTTGTAAGGCCTCCTAGATAGCCATTTTGCTTTTTTGCATTTCTTTTTCTTGGGGATGGTCTTGATTTCTGCCTCCTGTACAATGTTATGAACCTTCATCCATAGTTCTTCAGGCACTCTGTGTATCAGATCTAGTTCCTTAAATCTATTTCTCACATCCACTGTATAATCGTAAGGGATTTGATTTAGGTCACACATGAATGGTCTAGTGGCTTTCCCTACTTTCTTCAATTTAAGTCTGAATTTGGCAATAAGGAGGTTCATGATCTGAGCTACAGTCAGCTCCTGGTCTTGTTTTTGCTGACTGTATAGAGCTTCTCCATCTTTGGCTGCAAAGAATATAATCAATCTGATTTTGGTATTGACCATCTGGTCATGTCCATGTGTAGAGTCCTCTCTTGTGTTGTTGGAAAAGGGTGTTTGCTATGACCAGTGCATTCTCTTGGCAAAACTCTGTTAGCTTTTGACCTGCTTCATTTTGTACTCCAAGACCAAATTTGCCTGTTACTCCAGGTATCTCTTGACTTCCTACTTTTGCATTCCAGTCCCCTATAATGAAAAGGACATCTTTTTGGATGTTAGTTCTAGAAGGTCTTATAGGTCTTCATAGAACCATTCAACTTCAGCTTATTCAGCATTACTGGTTGGGATACAGACTCAGATTACTGTGATATTGAATGGTTTGCCTTGGAAATGAACATTCTCCCGAATGTTTCCGTGAACAAACGAGATCATTCTGTCATTTTTGAAATTGCATCCAAGTACTCCATTTTGGACTCTTTTTGTTGACTATGATGGCTACTGCATTTCTGCTAAGGGATTCTTGCCCACAGTAGTAGATATAATGGTCATCTGAGTTAAATTCACCCATTCCAGTCCATTTTAATTCACTGATTCCTAAAATGTCTATGTTTCACTCTTGCCATCTCCTGTTTGACCACTTCCAATTTGCCTTGACTCATGGACCTAACATTCCAGATCCCTATGCAATATTGCTCTCTATAGCATCGGACTTTACTTCTGTCACCAGTCACATTCACAGCTGGGTGGTGTTTTCGCTTTGGCTCCATCTCTTCATTCTTTCTGGAGTTATTTCTCCACTGATCCCAGTAGCATATTGGGCACCTACCGACCTGGGGAGTTCATCTTTCAGCGTCCTTTTTGCCTTTTCATACTGTTCATGGGGTTCTCATGGCAAGAATACTGAAGTGGTTTGGCATTCCCTTCTCCAATGGACCACATTTTGTCAGAACTCTCCACCATGACCCATCCGTCTTGGGTGGCCCTACACAGCATGGCTCATAGTTTCATTGAGTTAGACAAGGCTGTGGTCCATGTGATCAGATTGGCTAGTTTCTGTGACTGTGGTTTTCATTCTGTCTGCCTTCTGATGGGGAAGGATAAGAAGCTTATGGAAGCTTCCTGATGAGAGACTGACTGCGGGGGAAACTGGGTCTTGTTCTGATGGGCAGGGCCATGTTCTGTAAATCTTTAATCCAATTTTCTGTTGATGGGCAGGGTTGTGTTCCCTCCCTGTTATTTAACCTGAGACCAAACTAGAGGAGGTAATGATGATATTGGCGACCTCCTTCAAAAGGTCCCATGCATGCACTGCTACCCTCAGTGCCCCCAGCTCTGCAGCAGGCCATCGCTGACCCACACCTCCCCTGGAGACTCCTGGACACTCATGGGAAAGTTGGGGTCAGTCTCTTGTGGGGTCTCTGCTCTTTTCTCTGGGTCCTGGTGTGCACAAGCTTTTGTTTGTGCCCTCCAAGAGTCTGTTTCCCCAGTCCTGTGTAAGTTCTGGTGGCTCTCTGATGGGGTTAATGGCGATGCCATTTAACCTCCAAGAGGGCTTATGCCATACCCAGATCTACTGCACCCATAGCCCCTGCCCCTGCAGCAGCCCACTGCTGACTTATACTTCCACAGGAGACACTCAAACACAGTTCTTGCTGAGTCTCTGTGGGGGTCTCTGGGTCCAGGTGCACACAAGGTTTGTTTGAGCCCTCCCAGCATCTCTGGTGTGCACAAGGGTTTCTGTTGGCCTTAGATATTGCCACTCTTAGAGTTGGCCTCCCAGAGAAGAGCAGCAAGAACTGAAAAAAAAAAAACAAGAGCCAAGGACTCTGAACCTCTTGGCAGGGTGTAGTGACACAACCTCCGGGGACCACCCCATACTCTATTCTGAGTGTCAGCAACTGCAGCTTAAGAGTACTTTCCCTGAGTCTTCTGAAGACGGCCATTTCTTCACACTTGAACTTTTGAAGGAGCAGAGATGTTTTAA